TGATATTAAACTTGAATTCAAGTTTCATCTAACGAGGAAATCATTGTGAAATTATCATTTGTGAAGATATTTGTCAAAAAATTATAATTTCTTTAAAAACTGTAACTGAATAACTATTAACTGCCATTAAAAAAAAGTTAACATGTTTGTGTATTTCAGAAAAATTAATTTTTCTCCAATATTTACATAAGTTTAAAGTTAAAACAGTTGGTCTGTAGTGCCCTGGGTTTGTGCAATCTTCTGGTGGACAAACCTTCCTGGAATGAAGCTAATTATATTCAGGCGGAGCACAGACACCTAAACGTCTCTGATCGGCCTCAACTTTGCAGCAGGGGTCCTTCGGGCTAACGCTAATGCTCGTTAGCTGGTTTGCTAGCTAGCAGCTACGTACGCAGTCTGTTGCTGAGACAGAGATGTTGCTGGTGGTTTGTCTTTGCTGAGAATGAGCCCAAAAGATGTCAGGTCGGTTCACAATGATTTACGCACACATTCAAACATAGATTCCGACTTAAAATAATAATTTAAAAAAACACCAGCTGTTCTATTTAAACCGGAGGTGTAAATACAATAACGAAATCTTTTGTCTTTCAAGCTAAGCTAGCCCGTTAGCCTCCGGTACATGCTGTTGTCAAAGCCAACCTCCGGTCCAAGTTGGCACTTTACGGTGGCCTTCCTTATAACAGAAGGAGATGTGAAGCTCCACTGATGATTACAGTTTGGTGGCAAACTGAGAATTACAGCCGCGAGTAAAATAATTCATTTTTTAAAATGTTGTACTTTGCGGCTGCTAGCTAACTGCCGTTACCGCCCACTGCGATGGATTTCTGCGGAAGGCGATGTTTAAACAGATTTTAATGTTAATATTAATCCAGAATAAATGCTGATTGTCGTATTAGCAGCACAACAAAAACAGTGAGAGGCTCCATGTTGGCTCTGAAATTAGTCTGTGTCGGTCTTGAATGGCGCATTTGCCTCCAACTGCAAGTCCGGTAACCTTAAATTGACAGATTTTTAAATGGGGTCTGGTTTGCTCCTCTGTGTACATTAAAGCTGTAAATAACTAGCTTTGAGATTGGTCACTTATCCTGATCGTAGCTACAGAGGACCACCGTGTGTTTAACTGTTTGCTTTTTAATGTCTTCACCCAACAACCCAGGACAACTTGTCCCCCAGTGTTTGCCAGTTTAACCCACCGAGCTCGTCAGCTAGTTGCCACCAGCTCTGGTTGGTTCTAACAGCGTTTGTCGGTGAGCTGGACATGTGGCAGTCGGGGTGAGCTAGCAGCTGTCCCTGACACTAACTCTGCTTTTGTCCTCCAGCCAGCCGCAGCCAGTTTTCCCGTCGAAACCAGCCGCTTTAAACTCGGGGCACATTTCTGCACCGGCTCACACCAGTTTCATGTCATTTTAAATCAGCTGGAACACGTCGTCTTGTTGTTGTTGTGGTGGTTTTGATGTTTTAGGATCATATGTGCGCAGCTAAAGCTAAGCTGCGAGGCCCTCATAAGGAAGTTGGCACCTAAACATTTGGCTGAATGTTTGCTTTTGGACGTCATTAACGAGGGCTGGGCACTGATTAGTTTTATGGCGTTGACTTGTCATGTTGTGATAACCAACTTGCATGCCAGGTTGAGTCTGATCCTTTAATAGTCCTAGTCAGAGGAATTGTAATCCTTTCCCTTTATATATGATGGGGTGTGAAAAATGCAGTGCTTGTGCCAAACTATGTTTAGCTGTTCAAGGAGTGGCTCTATGTATAGTGTTGCACAAGATTTGGCAGGACAAGGCAGGTGACTCCCGACTGAAAAAGATTATGTTTGAGGTTTAGGTGTGCAGGGAGCATCTTTTAATGTGTTGTCTTGTATCTGTATAAATATAGATTTATTACACAGGTTATGTTCTCTTCAGGTGTTAGAGTTGCACAAGACAACATAAAGGTTTCAATGTGGTATTTGTTTAAGGTGTAAATGAAACAGGGGTGCAAATAACATGTATTTATTTGTTCATCTGTTTTTTTCCCCCATGTTATAGCTGTTTAATTGCTGGTAAAGTGTCAGAAAACGGTGTCCCATCACGATTGTCCAAAGCCGAAGTCCACATATTAACAAAGACGGTGTTAATGCATTGTAAGGTCTATTATCTAACAGTCACTGTAGCAGTAATAAGGCTGATGTAGAGGTGGAGGTATTAGTGAAATGATTACTGCTCAACAGTTTGGGTAATTATTTTAGATCGATTGACTGATATTTTATTTATTCCCCTCAAGAAATTCAAGGTGACTCCCACATATCGTATTGCAGGTAGGAAAAAGATAAGGTTCAACAGAATTTAAAATATAAATGCAGGTGGTCAGAAGGTACCGTGGATGTTGGTGGATTCAGGATTTAAGCAGATTTTCTTGCTCCAGCTGTTCAGTTCTGATAATTTGCTGCTTTCCTTCATCAGTTTGTGATGGAAGCTGTGTGTTGGACGGCTGTGACAGCACCCCGGGCACCAGAGCGGTTTTTTAACAGGCTTTTTTTTTTTTTTTTTTAAGAATAGAATCTGCAGATTAAGATAAGATGCTTTGTTGTCCTGCAGGGAAACTTGTGTTTGGCTGGAAGCCACAGCGCGCCTGTCAACACGTTCATGCGAGCACTTGGATCGTACAGAGTAACGTGAAGACGACACAAAATGTTCCTAAACTCTTAAAGACAATGGTTTATATTCATGAAAACCAGATCTGGTGAATCAGAGGTTACCTGCAGATTTAAATCTTCCATTAGCGGGGTATTTTAACCCACTTTCTTTTACCTTGTGTTCCCGTTTTCAGAATCCACTTCAGTCAGGGAAACGACTGCAACAATATATTTTGCAAAAGATTTGGTTGGAGCAGTGAAGCAGCCTTGCTATTTTTTTTATTTTTATTTCAGTGAATCACTCATTTTAATTCCAGTTTTCGCCTCCCTGTGTGCAAATGTTTCACCAGAACAGTTCCACCCGTCACTGTTTGGAGGGAACACGCTTCGCTCTGCTCAATACGACTCTGATTAGTTTAAAGAACACAAACAAGAGGGAGCGTTTGTTTTTCTCCCCCGACAGCAGCGTAGTCATGAGGTAACGCTGGCCGGTCCAAGCCAGATAGAATGGAGCTTTATTTTGTGAGAAATCGAAATGAATGAAAGGACAGTTGTAGGTGATTAATCCTTTGCACTTGTCAGGTTGTTTACATGTCATGTGATCTTGCAAATGACTTTTATAATTCCCGGGATTTGTACCAACAGCTGTTTATTTGACTTTAAACTCTGCCTCGTTTGTCTTAAGATAAGATAAACTTTGATTCCTCACTGGGGGAGTTTACAGCAGCCGAAGACAAATACTAGATGATAATATGATAAGATAATAGAGATTATGTACTTCTTTTATATGTAAAGACGATGAATTGACTTATGAATGTGTATTTTTAGCACTTCCTGTCTATTGACTTGCACAGCTTGCTTCTCAAAATCTCTTTATCGTAGCATTTGGTAGTTGTAAAATTCCTCCCTCCTGGGAAACCTACTTGCCAATGAGACTGATTCTGATTCTAAATTAGATTATTAGATAAAAGCCGTCAGTATTTTTAGCCACAGTTTGATCAGTTCTTGTCCCGAATTTGAAACCCTCCAACTTTTCCCTTTTATCTGCAGGGATGACCTGATGACGGCAGCATCTGTCTTCTTCGACCTCTTCCTGCATCATCCCAGCTCCGTCGGATAGGACGCCTCCCCCCTCCGTCTGAATCGTCTGCTGTCCCTCCCCCTCCCCTCATCACATCCTCTTCCTTCAAAGACCCCAAACAACTCGGGATCAAACCGCCCTCAAGGCCTCCTCTGAGCTCCTCCCCCTGAACAAAGAGACCATGTATTGCCTACAGTGGCTGCTCCCGGTGCTGCTCATCCCCAAGCCGCTGAACCCGGCGCTGTGGTTCAACCACTCCATGTTCATGGGCTTCTACCTGCTCAGCTTCCTGCTGGAGAGGAAGCCCTGCACCATCTGTGCCTTGGTCTTCCTGGCTGCCCTCTTCCTCATCTGCTACAGCTGCTGGGGCAACTGCTTCCTCTACCACTGCCAGGACGCCGCGCTGCCGGACGCCGCCCACGACCCGGCCATCGTCGGCACCTAGGAGAGGAGGGCGGACGCCGGAGACGAGGGGGAAGAGTGGTGGCGCACTGGGAGGTTACTGTAGAGCGATACTGCCATGCTGTGAGAGGAGGAGGACGGACTGCGGTTCTGTGGGCAGTGCTGGAAGGGAATACCGAGAGCGGCCAGCCAAAGACGGTATTAAAACAAAAAAAAAAACAAAGGATGCTGTTTAGTCATGCTGTAAAGAATCCGAGGAAGGTGGAGGTGCTGTCGGAGGAGATGTTGTTTGGGGGAAAGAGAGGCGCCCAAACTTAAAAAAAAAAAAAAAATAAAAAAACGCAAAGGGAAAGACGCGCGTGTTTAACTCGGTGCTGAGGAAAGAAGAACTTCACTTTTACAAACGTACAGTATAACGCCACATCAACCTAAAGTCTCCACTGTGTGTCAGTATTCTGGTTCCTTGTTTACTTCCGAGAGAGACTCTCCACGTTCACCCGGGAAACGTTTCGCTCCTCAAACTGCCAAAACTCACACCAACCGCGCTCCTCGCTCCCTCGACGGACTCCGAACGCCGGGCGGCGTCAGATGATAAAAGCCTTGACGTGTTTGAGGGGAAACGAGGAGCGAGGCGCCGTTTTCGGTCCCTCACGTGACCAAACTCCGTCGCCACCTTTTTGTTTTTTGGCTCTGCACATGCTCAACACTTAGAGCACACTGACACTGGACAATCAATAACTATGCTGTGAATAATTCCTCCCCTTTTCTTTTTTCTTTTTGTTTTCTGCTGCATCGCTACCCAAAATGCACCTGGGGAAAGGTGTGATAATGCTGAGGAACTGCCCCGTTGTCGGTGTTGTTGTTGCCCCGTGTGCTCTGCAGCCGCCCCTCTTCCCGCCACATCCAAACCGTTTAATTTTCTTGTGCATGGGTTGTTTTTCTTTCTCCAGTTCACACACACAGATTTCAATGAATTAAAAAAACAAAATGCTGAAAGTTTCCAAAGGGTAGAAGAGTCTGGATGTGTGCAGGCTGAATGAAAGACTTATTTTGTGTGCGTGTGTCATGTGCGATAGTTTCTTTTTTTTGTGATCATAACTGATTTACAAAAGAAAAGACGTGGCGAGACACGAGGAAACAAAGAGGAGATGGTCGGCATTTCCAGCAACAATAAGCAATACGGACTGGAGGGGAAACGCTATCACATTCTCACAAGAAGTTTATCAGTTTCCTCGCGCGTCGCCGCTCCGAGTGTTTCGCCGCCGGACACGAGGTGTTTCTACTCTGTACCTGTTGGTGTGTCTGGGGAGAGTGTGCGTTGTTTTTTTTTTTTTCTTTTCTCGTGTGTGCGTGGCCTCTTGTCGCAGTGCTGACGACGCTCACTGCTACACGACTGCTTTGGTTTTAATTTAAATAAAGTTTTTCCTCTCGACGTGTTGACCTGCGTGGAATTCAGTGTTTGGTTGTTTTTCTTTAAATCCAGCAATCCTCCATTTTTAACTTTATTTCGGGGGGGTTTGTTTTTAGAACTCTGAATAAGCAATCAGCTTCATCTACTTCCTGCAGCAGATTTATCTACACACACTTCCCCATTTTGTCTAAACGCGTTCGGCTGCTTCATATTTCCCACTAGATGGAGACATTCGGGTCCACGTGAAGCTCGTTACACCTTTTATGATCGATGCTCTACGAAAAGCTTAAGCATTTTTATTTAAAATTATATGTATATTTTTTTGCAGGTTTATTTTCTGGGAACCAATGAAACAGTTTCTGGTTCAGGTGTATTTGTGAGTCTTGGAAAAGACTTAACAATTATTTTATATTATTTCCATAATATAAGACCTTCCAAGAGCTGCAACAATCAAGTATTAAAATTCTCAGCTATTAATCCAACCATCAGTTATTTTGATGATTGAATAATTAGACTGAGTTGTTTGTTTATTTGTTTTGGGGAAAAAAAGGATAAAATACTGATTCCAGCTGCCTAAATCAGAATATTTTCTAATTTAAGACAAAAATAAGTCTGTATTATATATGACTGAATATTAATATATAGTTTTCCCACTGTGGGGAAAATCTTGTCAGTTTTTCTTTGTAGGTAACAAAAGAACATTCAGAGTTAATAAAGTATAAATCATCTTATTTAGTCTCTGCTTTTAAGATCTTAAGTCTGACTTTGTTTTGCTGCTGCAACAGTTTATTTGTACTTCTTCTCTTCTACAGCTGTTTGGGGAATTATTTCACAGCAACTTAATGTCTAATTAATCTCATGTACGGGTTGAACAAAGTACATTATTTGACCAATATTTTGGTTTAATTCCATTTTTATTCAGAATTTCTGCCTTCTCCTGAGGTTTTTAGTGGATCACAAGTTTCTTAATCCTGCTGAAAAGTGAAGAACAGCACATATGCTTTCTTTTCTTAACATATTTTCTTTCCCTTTAAGTTATTTTTTTGGCCTTTGTGCCTTTATTTGATAGTGCAGTGAGAGAGAGAGACAGGAGAATGGGAAAGGGCCATGAGCGGGATTCAAACTCATGATTGGCTCATGACTCATGATTCAAACTCCACATTGGGACTGTAGCTCTGCACATGGGACGCCAGCTCAACCAGGTGAGCTATAGCGGCGCCCTTAAACACATTTTCAAGAGTTAATCCAGTCCAATCACGTTACCTCTAATAAAATGAGCCCAGAATATTTTATTAGAAGCTCTGCAGGAAAAGCAGGAAGCTTGACTGAGCGCACTGCAATTATTTAATCATTACTGTATTTAAAAAAAAATATCTGAGGCACTGTAGTTCTCGAAGTGAGAAGTTAATTACAGACAATTTACGTGACTTTCTGGCAAACTGTATTTTGTTTGTGATGCAGATGTCATAAAACACAGTATTTACATCCACACGGTGGATCTGCAGCACATGAAGCGGTTCTTGAACCATTTTATTTCCCACAAACGTGAAGCGATTCAGCTCCACCGAGTGCACAGTCAAGTCCCAATGAGCAACACATCCAGTCACTGTAACACATTTATTTATTAAAACCACAGTTTGACACAAAGCTGGGAACGAATGAGACGAGTTTCAGTCTCCTGAAGTCCCACAAACCTGCAAAACGAACAGCTTTCCATGTAGCACCATCATCAGGTTGACGTTTAAGATGACTGAGTTTGTATTTGTGGCAAAATATCTGCAAAAATAACGACATTCCTACACAAGCGTCTTACGTCTCCTCCATATTTATTCCTTCACACCTTCATTTTACCTTCTTTTATCACAAATCTTCCTCCATCCTTCTGCAAAAGCGGCTGAAAATATAACAATCCGTGTTCAGTCTTTCACTCTGGGTGTCAAAAATGACTCGGATTTATATTTGAGGAAAGGCAGCATGTTAAAAAGAAAACACTTTTAAGTAATCTTTGTACATTTTTGAGTGTTTAAAGTGCAGATCCAGAACCATGTGTCTGTGCAGGAGGAGGATAAAAACAAAAACAACACGTTTCTGAACACCGTTAAGACTCACTCAGCTCTGGTTCTTGTTTATATGCAGAACATTTTGTCAGTTTTGTTCTTACGAGCTCATCTGACCCTGCATCTGATTATGTAAAAAAACAAAATAAAGTGTCTTCCCTGCTGCTCTGTATCACAGAATCCCTCGTGAGGCTTTAACGGAGCTGATCAGAGCTTTGGTATGCTGAAAACTGCGACCTCTGATTTAATTCCAGCGAGTAAATCATCAGGTTCGATGATTTCGAGCATATTTGACACCATAAACTTTGCAAAACATGACGCGGGGTTATCTTGAAAAGCCTCAGCTGCTTCAGTTTCGTTGCTGATAGAAACATATTTTCTCCCCGCAGCGTTTTATTGGCGTCACAAGCGGTCGTTAAAAACTCAAATCTGAGAGGTTTCGGGTCAGTTTAACCGCAACCGGATCCATTTAGTGGTGGGTCGAAGCATCTTCAGTTTACTGGAGCGGCCAGCAGAGGGCAGCACCTGCCTGCAGACTGATCAGGTAACTTATGATGGATTGTCAAAGAAGAGGAGGATGTAAGACGTACTGGAAATAAGAGGAATTAACTTTTTTTTTTTTGGGTTGGATAACGTCAGTCGTCGACTAATTTCGACAGCAAATAATAACTTGAAACCTGAAATTTGGTCCTTTTTATTCTCAGCAGAATATTCTTTGCTGGAACAATGATTCTTGGAAATAAAATCAATTACGGTTCAAGTCAGACGACAAATCAACAACAGTGGAAGTTTAGTCATCAAACTATCGCTGTAAAATGAACATTGGCGCCATAAAACTAGATTACTTCAACAGTTATCAGGCATGTTTTTGGTAATGATTTACCTTTTAAATTATAGGAAAATCATACTATCTGAATTACCAGAGTAGAAGAAAAGTAGTCGTGTACTATCTAGTTGTAGTTGACTGTCACAACTAGTCCTTCCAACCTCCTAGTTCTTGTCCTCGCCACAAAACTAAACTATAAACTCTTCACTGTCCACAAAAACTCAAATGATTGTAATTTTTTTTTTTTTGCAAGACCCCACAAACTTTACATCTAATCTACCACCGCCTGACTTATTTCCCAAACTGAAATCCTACTCGTGTGGTCGCCATTTTCAGAGTGACGATTCGGTACGCCTCAACAGCATCCATGACTTCCTAGAGGCTCAAGGTGTGGCCTTGTTCCATGAAGGGATAGCAAAGCGTGAACATCGGTGGACCAAGTGCACTAAAGTTTAGGGAGACTACGTTTGAAAATATTGCTAGAACAATCTTTCTCCGTTGAGGCTGATAACTTTTTTTTTTTTTAAGCAAGTACCGTAAATTCCGGACTATAAGCCGCCACTTTTTTTCACACGCTTTGAACGCTGCGGCTTAAACAATTATGCGGCTAATTTATGGATTTTTACGAATTTGCCTCGAGAGGCTGAGGAAGTGTGTGTGAAGTCATTCTGAGGCTGTTCAACTCCGACACTGAAGACTTTAGTGGTTTTAGTGCAGGAGGAAGATGAAGATCGCGATCAATGACTTTTCCTGGTAGGCTGCTGTATTTTTTTTAACCAGCCATGTTACAGGCACTGTTGGGAAAAAAGACATTAACGATGCGTATTTAATTAAAAGTTAAAATCTTTCTGTGTAAACATCTCATGTTACAAGGTGGACACCTGCAGCTTAGAGACAAGTGCGGCCTGTATATGTACAAAACTTGTTTTCTTTTTAAAGTTAGAGGGTGCGGCTTATATTCAGGTGCGCTAATAGTCCGCAAATTACGGTATTTAATGAAACATCCATTTTCAAAATCTGCTGCTTGGTTTTAGTGTGTTGTAAGTCAAGGTTACTTTTTCCTGATAACGTTACAAGCAATTCAGCCATGATGTTTGCTGGTATCAACATCACCTCTGTGCACCTACAACAAACCATTTCATCTAAAAACCAAGAGAAAACGTTGACCTACCACCCATAGACCTGCTGATTCCCGTTCCATGTTTGTTCGTCTATTAAAGTCCAACATTCACAGGCAGCAGAGGCACAGTTTAAACTTGTTATTCTGGATTTATTTAGTCCTTCTGTCCTTAAGGTTCATGTAATATTTTGGATTTTAGCCCTTTATTTCTCCTCACCAACACACCTGTGATCATATGTGAAATAACAACAACATATTCATCCTTCATTTTCCACTAAAACAACCAAGCAGGCTGTTGAACGAAAATCCCAACACTGGAACACGTGACCTTCTCATTGGGTTAAATTACTAAAGTGGTGCTGCAACAGAACATCTTCCAACAAAACTGTAGGTATCCGACAAACATAAATTCAAGTTCTCAGTAAAAATAATAAGACAGGATGAAGCTTTGGCGCGAAACTCCGACATCAGTGAGTGAAAGATCCATCCAGAGGAAGCTGAAGCCACCATCATTAGATCTTCTTCTGCGCTCGGTTCTTTGGGATTTGTAGCTACGTGAAGGTTTCCCAAGAAGTAAAACAACTCATTTGATCCAACACAAACTTGGTTTAAACTCAGTCTCTCGCCTTGAAACTCGACATCGTTGAGGCTTTTCGTGTTTCAGATCCAAGTTTGTTTCCTATAAAATGGTAATCTCAGTCTCTTGGTTCTGGTAGGCCTCCTCCTGCATCTCAGTGTCCAGCTGGTCCATCCTCTGGAAGGCCTGGTATCCTTTTTTACCTGCCGACGGACAACAAAAAAGTGTAATAAAACAAAACGTAACAAAACAAAATGTAAATAAGGAAGAATTAAGGTTTGTACCGAAGGAGAGGACAGTCTCTCTGGCGGCGCTTCGGAGATCTTCATCCGCTGATCTCCATAAATCTGCTATGTGGTCGACACTCTCCGTCGCCTGGCAAACACAAACACAGTGACAGCTGGTAACGTGGCAGACGCTGCTGACAAACTGCACTTCTGCGAGTGTTTCTGCTTCTGCT